ATTTGAAAACGCTGGCCAACATTCTGTACAAGGAGTATTCTTGATCTGAAATAAAGAAGCAGCTGGTTTTCAAACAGTTTTCAATGTATTACTCAACTTACATGTACAGTCCGCCATGCTGACACGAATGGCGCCAATGGATAGTTCTAGAATCGACCTCGGCCCCATTGGATGCAGTAAAACAATCTAACATGACCTTATATAATTTTCGTATCCACGATCAAATTTCTTTCCTATTATAAAACTTCGATTAGACTGCTGAAAAAATGGAATAAATACATCACTGACTCAAAATAATACATCAATAAACTTTATCTCACGGATGCTGTTCACAACAAAGTTTTATGGGAGAATTGACTTCAAGCTTTATTTTTCCCAGATATTTCTATTACATTCATCTGATGTCTGGGTTTTTTGTTATTGCGAAGACAATATTTCTATATCTCTTTATGTGTTACACAGACAGACTATTTTGCAGACTGTTCCGACTGACTGTAATGTCAGAAAGAATAAACAAACTGTAAATTCAACATACATCGAAACATGTGTAATTTATATAATAACTTATCCATGCCTGTACAATTGGTATGTTCCTGCATAAACAGGAATAAATATATATACAGCACTCTTCTTCACTTCTTTAGTCAGTACCATATACATTGAATTCAGCTTCTCCTTCTGTCGTCCACCTTTGCATTGGGTCATCTCTTTCACCATCTTCCTCTCCTCGATTGGTTTCCAGATAGATTTCCATTGACGGCTATTCCTCGCCCTGTCTCTCCTTTCTTCCTAGAAAAGTTGTACGCGTTTCCTTAAATATCGCTTTCAGAGAGTTCCAATGTTCTTCCACGCAGCCTTCTTCAGGGATGTCACGTAATATCTCCAACTTTGCTCTGATATCTGTAATGGGGGCATTCCTTGTGGTTTCGTCCTTCAATTTCTGAATGCTGAACCTGGATTGCAGTGGCCTGTCTACAGTTGATTTAAGGGATTTCAGCTTCACCTTGAAAGTTCCTTAAAATAGATGATAGTCTGAGTCAACGTCTGCTACCCCTCTCGACTTTGTGCCCGGCAGGCTGTGTCTCCACTTCCTTGAGACTGATATGAAATCTTTTTCGTTTGTAGTATGTCCGTCAAGTAAAATCCATGTTGCCTCGTGTATATCCTTGTGCTTGTGAAGACTGTCTCTGATCACCAAATCATTGAAAGAGCAGAAGTCTGCGAATAATTCCCCGTTCTCATTCATTTCTCCAAGAGCCTTTAGAACCATGATGAGTTCGCCTCCTGTATTATCTTCTCCCAGTTTGGCTTGTATTCACATCGCCCATGAGGATTTTGATATCACTATTTGGCTTATGGTCCATTACTGTTAGTAGTTGTCTGTATAACTCTTCCTTCGTTTCTTCTTCGCGTTGTTTGTAAGTGCGTAGCATTGGATAATTGTTACCTTCCATCCTTCCTTTGGAGTTGAATCTTGCTGTCATGATCCTGGATGAAATTGGTTCCCACTGAATTAGATCTTTGGCTGACACTGGTGACGTTATGATAGCAACTGACTACCTCAATGTGCTTGTGGCTGTCATCTGGGTGATCAGACCTGAGTAGATTATCTACTCTCCAGTTAAAAATTTTGACAATCCACAACCATTCCGTCCACTTTCTCAGATGCCCAGTACTTCTGAGCCATATCTTCGCAATTCTATGGTTACCTGGTGGGCCTACCCAGTCGGCTTCATATATAGTACGGACATTCCAAGTCCCCAAGCTTTATCTTGCTTTCATCGAGAGAAGACACATTTGCTGATTGGGTTCTTGAAGGCTTTCGCCAGCCCACTGTGTCATTTCACCTCTCTGATTCGACCGAAAAATACAATTTTAATTTGAACTTTTTGTATTTTTAATATATTTTCTGTGTGCTGAAATTTCTCTAGCGGTTCGAAAGATTTAGTGGTGTGGGGTTACTAGCCCCTTGCCCATACGTCCCTGTTTCACCGGGCTTGGAACCCGCTGGACAACTAGTGAACTAGTTAACTAGGTGAGGATAGGTTTCCTCTCTTTGAAGTAACCACAGTATATTCTGCTCTTCTCACATAGAGAGGCCTTGCGCTTAAGCAGCGAGAATGGGCGCTAGGCAGGATAGTGATGTATAAGTTCCCACTCCTCCTTGCTGATCTCATAATGTAACGGCAGAAGACAAGGGCCAGGCAACAGATCGTTTATTGGGAAAATCAACGGGTATATATAGATTTTTATGTGCCTTACTATTAGCGTTATTGTTAGCGGAGAAGCAACCTCTTATGAACGGTTGTTTTCTTGCTGAAGATTATTCTGTTATCTCTTTACAGCCGTTTTTCAAAAGATTCAAGTCATATTTCTGTGAACCATATTTTCATGCTTTAAATTCGCTGTTATTGGCTGATAATTTTCTTAAGGTTAAGCTTTGTGACTGTTTTTCTCATGACCCTGATTCGGGATGCGAACACTGAAGTAAATTGTCTACAATTTTGGCTTGCAGACAGCTCTCACCACAATAAGTTAGCTGAGATCACACGTCCCCACACGAGGTAGTTACATACTCAATACTGCACAGGTCAAAGTAGTGCTCTGGGTGGACAAATTGTAGTTGCGTTTATGTCAATCAAATTCACGCTATCTAATCGAAAGGAATCCACCTCTGCAGAAGTGGAGTTTTTGAAGCCATTTTTCACGCTTGGTAAACAAAACATTGAAATGAATAAAAAATTATAACTGAGAAGTACTGCAGATTGAAAAATTTTCCGAAGAACCAACCAAAAAGAAGAAAGTGGTATAGATTTCAGTAAGCTTTAACAAAATAGAGGGCCGACTGTTAACGCGACCGGCTGGCCAATTTGGAAACCGATTTTTCTACGGAAACAATCACCCAAATTACTGACCGATAGCTCGTATTTTTATGGAATACTAATTCCGGCTTTAATTACTTGGTTTTGATAGTGGAGTGAGGAAACTAGTTAAACCCATGGAAAAGCGTTCATCCTTCAGTAGGCAGATAAATCCTTAAAATCATACGCAAGACATAGTCCCAGTTGGTTACTTGTCTAATGCGTCCAAACTCCTAAGTTACTAACTAGATCTCAGTGGCCATATTAAACAGTGTTGGAGAAGGTCTACAGGGGGGTATAAAGCCTTCGGCTATATGAAGATGTATTTATTAACGATAGTGTTTAAGGTAGCATGGGGATAGATTGTCATACTAAAATGTAGCAACCCCTCTAATGTCCTTCGAAAACCCGATGGTCCGCAGCGTCATTCGGATGGCACAGACGAACAAATTTGGAGCTGAAACCGAAATGGGCGAGATTCACTTGAATTGGCGAATTTCTTTGATCCTCTAAAACACCGATATTCACAGATCTGTCGATGAACACGAATCTCCCATGAATGCAACAGTCTGGAACGCTGTACAGATGCCGAAGACCGAAAAGGTTATTGGGCCAGACAGACACCCAGCATAAACCTCACTTGTCATGCTAAAACTACTGTTGCTTCGGGTTTGTAAACGGAAGTATCATCGGTTGGAAGAGAGTCTGTCTTACTGAGCTGCTAAATTAGGGTGACTCAGGCCTGTTCAAGAGTTGGCGCGGAGCCATTCTGCTCTTCATCCGATGCAAAATGTAAGGCTATATCATCCTGAAAAGCCTAAAAGGCGTCCTGAGTGGAAGACTTCTTTCGCAGAAGGTTGGATTTAAAAGAAAGTAATATACAGGTGCAATTTCAACACTACGAATAAATGAACAGGCCATAGAATGGTGGTGAATTCTCTGCCTCAGCTAGATCAATTTTGGAAGGGGCACAGACAGTGTCAGCCATAAGGTTTTTTGAAACTACCCTAACAATGTGAATTACCCCAAAAATTCACCAACCTCGATGTGATCTGGTGGACAATAACGAGGAAAGGATTACAGGATTCTCATTTCATCCCATTCCGGACTCTTCATCTGGACGCACATAGTGGTGTTCTCACTGAGACTGAAACATAGTGCCATTCGTCTCAGTGTTAATCCCCACATTTCATCGAAGCGTTCAAACTAAAAGCCAATATGTCAAAAGAAGTCGGGTGCTTAAGTTCAGCCAATCAACGAGAAGAAAAAAATTTGGTTCAAACAAAATAATTTACAAACCTCAGTCATCAGTTATTCACTATTACTACATGCGACGAAATTAACAACGGTGGGCTCACCGAAACGCCTTAATTGAAGGCAGGTTTAAGATGAAACTGATTACCAATTCTGATAGTACTCATGATTGTGATCGACTGGATCACATGAAAAGTCGTGGAAAGTGGGAAGGTAGTTATACTCTTGCCCAAAGAAAACAGCATAAAATTTCTAAATTTCATGGATGACTCATGTCTCATGCCGCACAGAGTTGAAAATTTTCAGGCGGAAGCAGATAAGTGATAAGAGATAATGAGAAGAGAGGACTTCAGGTGGAAATGAAGGAGGCAGAGGTGATAAAGATACCAGACCAGTAACAACAAGCACTAGCCATCATCAGCAGTGAGAATCTAAGGGGAGTCATCTCCTTGGCATGTCTGACCCAGATATTATCGTTTCCCCTACAAGTGACACAGATGTTGACGTCAAGGCCAGAACTAGAAAAGAATGACTGACTCGCACTGCCATAAAGAGACATTAAAGTGAAATAACACATGAGACTTTTGGAGGGGAACTTAAATATGATGCGACGATTTGAATGTACAAGTTTGAAAAGTAGGAGATCATGAAGGAAGTGTAAAATTTCGAATTCAGAGGAAGAAAAATAACAATAATTGGTCCAACCTTTGTAGTTATGCACATTGTAGTTTTTCTTCAGTGAACTCTCCTACTAAACAACGACTGAATTGAATTCATTTTATTCGCGTTTCTTTTTTGAAGAACTCAGAATCGTGAAAATATGAAACCAACACTCAGGACACTTTCTGTTATCACTGACTTGAAACATTCAGTCCAATATTTAGGCTGAGCTACTTTGGTGTTGGTTAGGCGAGGTTGGTTTGATTTTTCAAGGTTGGTAGGTTATTTCTACTTTTTGGAAGTTAGGGGCTTTAAGTGGAGTTTTAGTTCCTTATGACGCTGAATCATCAATAGGAAGCTTCAATCACTACTTCAAAGTGCATTACCTGGAAATCCTTTTTGTTTTGTTACATCTTGTAAATTACCGTGCCTGCAAGCACACATGTGAGCTAGCATTTGTTGAGTTCACTGCCTCCTGTCAAGTAATGGACATTCAGGGTGTTCTTGAATGGCAAAAGTCAAAGAATGCATATGGAAACATAAATTTAAGATTCATTTTAGCTGCTGAAGTAGTCAAAAATGAGAATTTTCTATGTTTTAAATGCACCAAAATGCTCTCTCATACTTCACACTGCATCTAATCACATTATAATTCTTTAATAAACCCTTTCGGCTTGCAAGAAACTGTATTTAGGATCCACTAAAGATGGTAAAAGCATTTTGATCCACGCTACTTAGTAAAAAACAAGTGGTGTTAAATTTCATAAAAATATTGCATAAGACTCTGCAGTAACGTATACTTAATAATAGGTTGTAAAATGCCATGGGATAAAGCTAATATCATATATCCAAACGAACTAACTTTCCCTCAATTTACCTTATCAAACAACGATTTTGGGCAATTAGAACCATTTAAGGTAAGTTCTGGCGTGTTTTCTGGGCATTTCGGGATGGCGGGAAGATTTCAACGCATTTTCCCGGAATATTTTGATTGATCTTCCTGGAAACCTCCGAACACCTACTTGGGGAGTACTGCATCATATTCCATATTGTAAATTCGTTCTTCGGAAAAATTTTAAGGTTGAAAACGTCGTACTGGTTTCACTAAAACGAATAAAAGGAGGACATAATGGATGTAACTAAACTATTTCTAACATTCTATCAGCCTCTATTAAAAGTTTGTCGTAAAGTCGTCCCGCATCTTTGCCAAAATCACTGGCCTGCTTTCAACTGCGTCTAAGAGAAGACTAGTAATGTACATGCAAGTTTTTAGGAACTGAGTTACCGAAGATTGCGTACAGTTTTAGAGCTTCATATTGGACAACTCCAACTCTAATATCGTTTCATCAGCTTCGTTTCATCAAAGTCGACTCATAAAAAGTGGTTGGTAATACTTCATAACATCTCAGGTATTTCAGAATCATCTGCACATCGCTCTCCATTTACGGGACATGTGTAAACAAAGATTCTAATTTTATGAGTTATTACTATTGTACCTTACATCTACTTAGTAGCAATTATTAACTCGTGCAAACACCTGTAATTTGCTGGTGATTCGAAATGAATGTTACACTGTTACGTTTCAGAAGTACCCATGATGAGTGCTGTGGAAACATTCTTTAGTGAGGAATTGGAACCAGTTGTAAGCGGTGTAATTAACTGAAGAGAACTGTGTACACAGTTTGTTTGACCGTGTACTATCATCAGTGGGACTTCCCATTGTTTGCACTAGAAAGTCATGTGTAATCAATATGTTCTTCTTTGGATGGCTAAACACTAAGTGAACTATTTATTCTAGCATACAATACGTCTTTTGTTTATGCAGGGTTAGGGTAGCATGAACGGCTAAATTAAGCTAATGCATCGATACCGTCGCTTTAGTTAGTATGCGAGACTAGCGCAGAGTGAACCTAAAGCTTTGGATTGCTACACTTTACTTTCTCTTCTAACTGCATTATAGTTGCATATAAGCACTATACAAATTAGTTCCATGTATCAATCTGTCAGTGGTTTTTAAGAAGACTTTTATAGTGGCAAGTATATGCCACCTATCCTCAGGTGAACATATAAGTTCAAAAGAATTGAGTATTATAAATCCTTCAAGGCGTAAATGATTGTAAAAGTATTAGACTTTATCCCTATTTCAGGGTTTGGGTTAGGTGAAGTGGTAAAGTACTACTTTTCAGTTGACATTCTAGGCACTGCTAATTGTCCTCAATCATTTTAATGTTATACTCTTTTGGAGTCATTGTACAGATAATTTAGTTTTTCGTCTTGTCTAGTTACAATGCTGGGGAAAATTCGGTAGTGCATAGCTGTGGCGTTGATCTGATGAGCTAAAGTTGGGTAATTTGTATCCATTTCACTGTATTTCACTTGACTGTAACACTGAAGTGAACTGAACTTTGCACAAAAGCTAAACACTTCAAGTTGCCACGTTTCACTGATTATATCAAGGTAGAGAAAAAAAATGCAAGGCGAATATAATGAATGAAAACTTACCTGAGAAAGAACAACTACATAGAGAATGGTGAGGATTTAATGGACCTAGGAGACCGCAAAGGGCGAATACATACGTGCAATTGGAAACTGTTTGTAGCCATGTTACCAATAGTCTCCAACCATTGATTCTTAGCGCCTTAATGACCTAAGTCAGGTAGTCTACATCTCCCTAAGTGACTGATATCAACAGTCAAAATCTTCACGCATCGGTGCCAAGTTTTGGACTATAACATACTGGTTACATTGTGTTACTGGATGCTGATGATAACCATGGTGGTGCAAAACCTAAAGCAACTGTTGAGCTTAGTTTATGGGTTTTCACGAAGTAATAGTGAGGTGTTAGTAATTCGAGCACTCACTCGGTAATTTTAGTTCTTATGTTTGTAATATCTGTTTGTCTGTTTGCAAATCGCCTAAAGTTTAACTTAGTTGAAGGCATGTTGTCGCTTTATTTCTGTTTAAAGCACTCAAGAGTTTAAAGTAGTCTCCCACTTGTTTTAGATCTTAGAGAGATCTGAAGACCTTCAAAATATTATAGCTAATCCGTCAATTCACACTTTTTCATGCATCATTAGAGAGATACGTAAATTTGTATTGATAACACAGAAGGATTGCCCGAAGAATAATTAATGGTAATGGACTCTGGCTTCTTAGATTAAATATTAGTTGTTTGCATTAGTAACCACTGAAATTTTGAATCAATAAGGTTTCAAACAAATGTATTTGTTGGCGATTGCAACCATGTTAAGTCAGCACTAAAGGTTTACGTAATCATAGAGTAGGCTAGGGAATATGTTATGATTAAAGTCACTGGTCACTTCAAGTGTTGTCTTGTTGACAGTCACGAAATAATAATTGAAAGCCTTAACGTTTAATATTATCTAGACAACTATATCGATTATTTGTTATTTTTGGTGTATCTGCCTAAGATGTGTTCCGGTAGTGTTTTCAAAACATCTCTGTATGAATATGGTCAAAAAGGTGCTTAAAAATTGCATAAGTAGGTTTCGTATCGAATATTAAGCGATAGTGAGACTATGTTGCTAATCGAATTTGCCACTTTAACCAAATTTTCATTTTAATCGATCAGAATAAAATGACTCACTGAGAATTCGCACCAGTTCCTTGACATGAAATGGACAGCTCTTTGTTTGTACTAAGCTAATTGAATATGTGGTAGAGATGAAGTGAGTATAATCAATGAAAACTGAAATGAATTTGATACCTTAATCCTCTGTAATTATTCACTTCACAGTGAATCTGTTTTCAACTATATTTCTATTGCAGGAGTTTTGTAAATTTATTGATTACTGAAATTCATTTCTTACTTAATTCATTGTTTTTTCCTTCATATCTGTATACGGAAAGGCAATGTCGTTCTGTAGCTAGTTGGATTATTAACACAAGACATCGTCAGCCAAGTGCTCCAGCTATGTCATTGAGTGAGATAGTTGAAAATGTGAAACAAGCGAGGGAATTGGCTCTTCTTGGGAACTATGAAAGTTCGCTGACATATTACTCTGTCGGTCTTGCACAGCTTAAGAATTTTACTGTATCTATTTCAGAAGCAAACAGAAAACAACAATGGCAGACTGTAAGTATTACTACGAATAAATTTATTAGTAACTTTTAAATATTCTTTAGTCATTATTTTCTCGGACCAATTTACCGATAAATTTAAGCCTTAATAATTCCAGTGTCTAATCTCAGAGATAAGGGATAAGTTTACTTCAAAAATAGGTAGTTTAGTTTCATGATAAGACTTATGTGTAATAGTATAAGTAGGTATATTATAGTAATACGTACTTAAAATACTATCCACGTGATATCTCTAGATTAAAGTTTTAGTCAAATTTTGTGAAAGACACACGAATTGTTTGCATAATGAGTAGTGAGAATTATGCTAGGTGAAAGGTCAACTGTTTCTCTATGGTACCACAGCTGACAATGAAGTCAATATTCTGTAAGAGGTCGTCGTTTTTAACCAGAAGAGGTATAGTTTTCATTATCTAGGTGTTTGTTTCCTAGTTTTCATCAATTGTATTCACTATTTGGTTACCCGGGTTTGATTTCTGGTCAACAAAATGTAGAAAAATAATTCTGTGAAAGAATATACGCACAGTTGCGTGAACATCATCTCTTATTGTAGGTATTCGATAGCTCCGCCTGACGACTGAAAAGTTCCTGTTTGATTGTAACGAACTAGGCTTGTTGGTATATATTATTTCTAGTGTAACAATATTTTAAAAATTTGGTTTGCTTTCGATTCTAAGATTAATTTCGACGTGTCGTTACATGAATTTTCACAGTCTTTTGGTTTTACGCCTTTTAAATTTCCTGAGCATTGCAGCCTTTGTTTGTTTTCGCTCTTACTTATCTCAGGTGCGACAAGAACTGGCAGATGAATATGAACTGGTAAAAGATGTAAACCAAACCTTATCCAGTTTCAAACTATCTGATGATGATTCAGGCTTGAGCGCTTTCGCTAGCCGTTACAATTCTCGTGGAGCTGTTGAAGAACCAACTAGAGATCCAGATGTTTGGCCACCTCCACCACCTTTAGATCGGAGGCATGGCGGTGGCGCTCAGAACTCACCTTTGTCCAATGTACAGATTAATGCTGTTCCTAGTTCATATTACAAATCACCCATTACTCATGGCCCAGCTCCTTCTCCTTCTGTCAATGTGAAGTCACCTGCTAATGTTGGAGCATCCGCACGTCGTCAAGCAAAACCTAATCCTCCAAGTGCACGATCTAAGGGCACAGCTCAGTCTTCCGGTAATGCTCTTGTACTCATTTATTTTTATACTGTATTATTTTGTTCCTTCGTAAATCAAAGAATTCTTCCAGTCATGTCCGGTTCAATTTTCAATTTTACCTTCCTTTGTGTAAGTTAAGGAACCTAGGGGAATCGATGGAACATATAAAAGTTCCGAGTATTTGGTAAATTCAGTCGGTCGGTCGGTTTTCGACATAGAACTTTGCACATATGTGCGGCAGTTCAAGTCGCCACAATCTATGTAGCACGCAAAGCAAGAGAAGAAATGCATAATATAGACAGTAAACAGAGGTGTGAGACAAAGGAATAGTAATAACGGAGAACAAAAGTTTAATTGGAAATCATAAGTCACAAGGAGTGGATGCATCTGCGCCACTGAGAACGATTTTGAGCCATGTCGCCAATTGTTTCCAACCATTGGTTTTTACCGTCCCGAGGGCCCCAACCAGGAAGTCTACATCTTCCTACGTGGCTTAGACTAATTGTTGTAGATTTCATTGACTGGTGCCATGTTTTCATTTGACCGCCACTAGCTCTTTTCCAGCCTGGCCCTATATCAGCAAACATTGCCCATTGTCGAGGAAGGCGATGACTAGGCATACGTAGCACATGTCCTAACCATCTCAGTCGAAGTAATTTCACAGTCTCGTCGATTGATTTCCCCGCCTTACCTAGCACTCGACGCCTAACCTCAATATTGCTCACCTTATTATACCACTTCACGCGGGAGATGGAACGCAGACACCTATGATCGAAGACAGCTAATCTTTTCATGTCTTCTGCTCTCAATGGCCAGGTCTCACAGCCATAAAGGAGGACGGAGCGGACTGTTGATAAATTCAAATTGGTTGACACTCAAGCATACACAGCTTTTCACCGATAAGGTATAAAGGGTCGTTATTAAGACCAATATAATGTGAGGTAGAAAAACATAATGAATTACATAAGTTGTAGCAACTTAGTTTTTCGAATATTCCGACGGATTCAATTGTAATCTGCAAGTAATTTAGTGTTTTTTCTGGTGGAACTAAAGCTTGTAACGACACATAATAAGAGAATTGGTAACGGCCCTTTATTCAGCAGAAGGATATCATATTTATACATTCTTAGCCACATTAAAGTTCAGCTAGGTCAGAGGAGAATAAACTGTTCTGATTGGCTGATAATTAGCCCAAGATTAAACACATTGTCAATATATGTGTAAAACTTGGGCACTGTGGTAGTAGGTAATTCCACATTAGTTTGTTTATTAGATATATCACAGTGAAACAGTATTATTTACTGGATGACGTTTCGAACAAAATTTATTGTTCATAATCATATCAACTGTAATCACACGACTTTGACGCTTGAGTTTTAAACACATTGTCCATTGAGGTAAACACATTGTCCGTTGAGATTATTTCATGTCCACAAAGTAAATTAAATTCAAATTTAAGGGATAAATACTTCTCCCTCTGTAACCAATGGCTTAAAATTCTGATTTCAGTTTTGGCCACTTCCTATCAGTCTGCAACTCATTACAGCCGGTATATTCTTCTTGAGTATTTGTAGAAGTAATTATTTGTTGATAGGATGATGAAAGGATTGTTTATCAGAGTCTTCCCCTGTTGGTTTATTGACGTAAATCCAATTTGTTTTACTCTTGATTCTTAAATTTCTTTCTGTGCCCAAGTGATTTTTTTGTCACTTGCTTAGATGTTATCTTTTGTACTACTATCGGGTTGATTTTTGGTTTTGAAATGGCTTTCCTTAGATTTATTTTCAATTCTTGTTTTTGACGTGGATCAGTTTTTTTTCTGGTGAATGAGTTCTGAATTAGTTGATTTCTGAAGTTTGTACATGAATTAGCTTGAATTCGCTTGCTTGACTCTAAACAATTAGTCCTTTCGATAAATTTGGATAGTGTTATTAGAAGAAAAGTTTCTCTGGAATAGATGTGACATGTTTTGTGTAATACATTTCGAGCAGTTTGTGTACATACTTAATTGTAAAGTTAGTCTATATCATAATAATGAAAGGAAAAGTCAGATTAGAATATCGTCTAGGCGTCCGTACTAGGATCTGATATGTCAGCAGGTATCGAGGATTTCGGTCCAACATTATCAATCGTTAGGAAGTGCAAATAAACGTAATAGCTACTAAAATCTAATACTCGTTGCACAAGAGGTGGCTTTCATGGCCTAGCCGGTAACTGCTACTTTGTCGTGATAATTGGCCTTGAATAACGCAGTGACCCAATAAGCTGCGCTTCCTTGGACCTATGTTCCTGCAGGTCCTACCATGTCAGGAAAGTTGTTTGGATAGCGGTTAGACTAAGAGCAGTCCCCATGTGGTCGTATAAACCTGTACTGGTCACCGATATTCATTCATGGGAACGTCGCTCCTGACGATTCTCCGCTGCCTTGCGGATTAGACTTCAAGTCAAAGGCTCTGGGGGTTGATCCCTTGAGACAACCACCTGCTTCGGTTTAGGCGCCAGTACTCAACCCTCACACAATCAATAAAAATGAAGCAACGAACTATCAGTAAAACTAATCTCATTCACTTTACAATGCTCTCGAAGATAATTGATATTTCAAGTGACGCATTGCTTTCCAACCGTTTTTTTACTTTTATACATAGACTCCTTTGTTTCACTTTTGCTATTGTTGGTGACTTTACTTTCGTCAGCCTTTATCCTTTATCTGAATTCCCAGCTTATCTGTCCCGTTTCGGGATGTGAGTGAGTAGCCCTCAAGATGGTTGTGTCCACTGTGACATCTAACACAGATATCCTGAAACCGCGTGCCGCATTTAAGCTTGCTACCTACAATGTTCGGACGCTGATGCAAATCGGACAACAGGCAGGTCTGGTAAGAAAATTGGAAAGCCTCGCTATCGATATCTGCTGCATTTCGGAGACTCTCATTCAAGATCCCAGTGAAGTGCTTCGATTATCTTCTCTATCTGAAAGTTCTAGTAGTATGTACCACCTGGGCTTGTCCGGAGACCCTGTGGCGTCGGCTTTTGACGTAGCCGGTGTCAGCGTCGCACTAAGCGCTAGAGCCGAAGCTATTTATCTTTACTGGGTCCGCATTAACAGTCGTTTATGTTCTGTGAGGCTGGAAGGTTATACAAGAGTAAGGAGTGGTAGGCCAGATAGGCGGTATCTAATTGTTGCCTCCGCCTATGCACTGACGGATTGCAGCCCGGATGCAATTAAGGATGAGTTCTACTACCAACTGAGCGACCTCTTGAAACAGGTGGGTCGGAAGGATATCGGTGTTCATGTTCAATCCATCACGTGGCGTCGCGGGATAAAGGATATTTATACTTGGTTAGTATCGGTTGGTACGTCACGACTCCCTGGTTGGAATCCGAGAGATGGCTGCAAACGTCATCGGATATGGCCAAAAATCGCAATCAATGGCGAATGTGCTGCAATTTCCTTCTCTCTTCCCTTTCTGGAAATAATTCGATGAATGCTGTTTGGTCTTGCGAAATATAACTGCTTTCTTCCCAGATGAAGTCGTTTATTTATTCTCCATCTACTTATATTTTTTATGTTTTCTTATTATTATCGTGTGGCACATCTTTTTGGTGCCATATTGTTCCAGGTTTTGAGTTTTAAATACAAAAATTTTCAAGAACTTCATACAACTGGTTCCCTTGATAAATTTCGATAAAGAAAGGAAGACGAAATTTGCAGTATAAAATGATATCATTCTATTTCACAGGTTCTCATCAGCTGCAGACTACCTGAAATTACAATGGTTATATAAATGATAATAACATACTTTAATGTTTGATTAGTAGTAGAGAAGAGATAAAATTGACGCATCCAAAAAAAAGAATGGAAGCATTACAATTTTTAGTCTAAGTTATCATCATCAATTTATACACTGTCAGAGTTGAAAAGAGGGGGTAGGGGTAAGACAGAAAATAGAAAAATTGATTAACAGAACAGTGTTAGCTTGTAGGTTCACATGGCAACTCCAAAAAACAAAAGCAATTCATACCAGTACCTCTCCGAATTGAAATCTCGTCTGGCTACCTATGATACCCTACTAAGCGAGCTTAATATTATTTGCTGGCTAAAATTCATGAATTTTATCAAAGAGCTACAATCAAAAACATCCAAGGACTATGACACTCAGCTGATAAAAGCGTTGGTGAAAGAGAACCTAATCGAAGAATTCCCAGAATCACCTGAACGCTACGTCTGTAATCTATCAAAATTACAATTAAACAAAATTGAATTAGAAGCCTTATCTCTAGGATTCAAGTTTCACGTCCCCAAGAAGCAGATCAGTCGTATAGATACAGAAGCACAATTCGAACACTTATACCATCAACTCCACGACCTGAAACCCTTAGACGAAGATAAAAGAGGATGGCTAAAGTCTAAACTTGTTGATATTGCTAACCAATACCACATATCGCCAATGGAGAAGCAGAAGATACTGACCGAAGAGCATAGAATAGCACTGAAGAAACTATATGAGAACGATGAAATTGTCATATTTAGACCTGATAAAGGCTCTGGGGTTGTTATAATGAACAAAGCTGATTATATTCATAAAATGATGACAATTCTAAACGACAAAGAAAAATTCCAAGTAGACAACAAAAAAGATGCCACAACGTCGTTTGAAAATAAAGTAAATAAATGTCTCAAAGAACTTCTAATGAAGAAACTAATCAACAGCGAAACATACAATAAACTAAAGTCAAAAGGTGGACGCCTGCCGTCTATGTACGGCCTACCAAAAATCCATAAAGCAAACGTGCCTTTAAGACCAATCTTGTCAATGATTGACTCACCATACCACAAGTTAGCTCGATGGTTAGCTGATTCCATAGAGCCAATTCGAATTAAATTTGCAACCCGTAGCCTGAAGGATAGCTACCAATTCTCCAAGGAAGTTGACAACATTGACATATCAGACAAACTCATGGTATCGTATGACGTGACCTCCTTGTTCACAAACGTACCACTGATGGAAACGATTGATATTATTTGTAAACAAACGGATCTACTACCGTTACCGGAAACAGAGATGAAACGACTACTGCTGCTCTGCACAAAAGATATACAATTCAAATTCAACAATCAACTCTACCGACAAATTGATGATGTCGCTATGGGTTCACCTCTGGGACCTATCCTGGCTGATATCTTCAGACACAACAGACACAACTAAGTTCTGCCATCAATGGAACAACCTACTATCGCCGATATGTTGATGACACATTTGTTGTTTGCAACGACATGGATCACGCGTCGGCATTATATGATCGCCTAAATGAGATTCATCCAAATATCAAGTTCACCATGGAATATGAACATAAAAATGAGTTCAATTTCCTGGATCTAAATGTAAAAAGAACAAACGAAGGCATGATTGAAAAGTCCATCTATAGAAAAGAAACCTGGACTGGACAATATCTTCACTATAACAGCTTTTGTCCCATAAGCTATAAACGTGGATTAGCGAGGACTTTGTACGACAGAGCCAGGAAGCTATGTTCACCAAATAAGGTCGAAGAAGAACTAGATTTCGTCGAGAAATGCCTGAGGGAAAACGGATACCCTAAAGGATTTATACAGAAGCATAGCAGAGAAAAAGATAAGAAAGAAAAGCATCCAACTGTAGAAAAGAAAAAAGTGTTTATTTGTCTCCCATTCAAAGAAGATGCAGTTTCACAAAAGATTGACAGAAGACTGAAAGGAGCAATAAATAGAAGCTTCCCGGCAGCAAAATTCATAACAGTATACAACACCACTCCTTCCATGATCCACTCAAAACTGGATAAATACCCTGCTGATGTCACCTCCAACTGCGTTTATGAATTTACGTGCACTTGCGGGAGCAAGTACATTGGAAGGACAGAAAGAAGGGCTTCTATCCGGTTTTCTGAACATATTCCAAGAAACCTATGCCTGAAAGGAAGCAAAT